TGCTACAATGTAAAGTAGTGAGTGTACAGCTTGTATAACAGTGTAAATTTGCTGTCCCCTCAAAATAACTCAACACAGAGCCATTAATGTCTAAACCGCTGGCAACAAAAGTGAGTACACCCCTAAGTGAAAATGTCCAAATTGGGACCAAAGTGTCGATATTTTGTGTGGCCACCATTATTTTCCAGCACTGCCTTAACCCCCTTGGGCATGGAGTTCACCAGAGCTTCATAGGTTGCCAGTGGAGTCCTCTTCCATGACGACATCACGGAGCTCGTGGATGTTAGACACCTTGCGCTCTTCCACCTTCCATTTGAGAATGCTCCACGGATGTTCAATAGGGTTCAGGTCTGGAGATATGCTTGGCCAGTCCATCACCTTTACCCTCAGCTTTTTTAGCAAGGCAGTGGTTATCTTGAAGGTGTGTTTGGGGTCATTATCATGTTGGAATACTGCCCTGCAGCCCAGTCTCGGAAGGGAGGGGATCATGCTCTGCTTCAGTATGTCACAGTACATGTTGGCATTCATGGTTCCCTCAATGAACTGTAGCTCCCCAATGCCGGCAGAAGTCATGCAGCCCCAGACCATGACACTCGCACCACCATGCTGGACTGTAGACAAGACACACTTGTCTTTGTACTCCTCACCTGGTTGCCGCCACACACGCTTGACACCATCTGAACCAAATAAGTTTATCTTGGTCTCATCAGACCACAGTACATGGTTCCAGTAATCCATGTCCTTAGCCTGCTTGTCTTCAGCAAACTGTTTGCGGGCTTTCTTGTGCATCATCTTTAGAAGATATTTCCTCCTGGAATGACAGCCACACAGACCAATTTGATGCAGTGTGTGGCGTATGGTCTGACCGCTGACAGACTGACCCCCCACCCCTTCAACATGCAGCAATGCTGGCAGCACTCATACATCTATTTCCCAAAGACAACCTCTGGATATGACGCTGAGCATGTGCACTCAACTTCCTTGGTCAACCATGGCGAGGCCTGTTCTGAGTGGAACCTGTCCAGTTAAACCGCTGTATGGTCTTGGCCACCCATGCTGCAGCTCAGTTTCAGGGTCTTGGCAATCTTCTTATAGCCTAGGCCATCTTTATGTAGAGCAACAATTCTTTTTTTCAGATCCTCAGAGAGTTCTTTGCCATGAGATGCCATGTTGAACTTCCAGTGACCAGTATGAGAGAGTGAGAGCAATAACACCAAATTTAACACACCTGCTCCCCATTCACACCTGAGACCTTGTAACACTAACGAGTCACATGACACTGGGGAGGGAAAATGGCTAATTGGGCCCAATTTGGACATTGCCTCTTATGGGGTGTACTCACTTTTGTTGCCAGCGTTTAGACATTAATGGCTGTGTGTTGAGTTATTTTGAGGGGGCAGCAAATTTACACTGTTATACAAGCTGTACACTCACTACTTTACATTGTAGCAAAATTTTATTTCTTCAGTTTTGTCACATGAAAAGATATAATAAAATGCTCACATCTGTGAGATACTGTATGTTACATACACGCACATGCAGTACATATATACTGTGCGTGTGTGTATGCATATGTGTATGTATATATATATATATATATATATATATATAGATATATAGAGAGAGAGAGAGAGAGAGAGATATTACTAGTTATTTTATTATTAACATAGGTACACTTCTAAGTTTTAACTGTTATGCTGGCAGATTACCAATTTTGCTGAGTAATCCTAAATTTGTGGTGTGAGAAGACAACATCACATCTGCTCTTTTTTATATGAGATCCCATGCTTGCACAGTGCACATGGTTTTTTTTAGGAATGCATACAAAGCCGGAGCCACTCTACTGTTGCCTAGAGAGTGTTGAGTGGGAACAACATGACTAACAGTCACATGTATCAAAGATTGCTTGAACATAATTGTGTGGCTGCATGCACTGGGTTGGGAGAAGAGGGAGCTGGAATACAAAAGCAGTCTTTGCAAATACATCTTGCCAATTCTCTAAAGCAGTGTTTCTCAACCTTTGTGCAGAATTTTAAAGGGTGCTTTGACTGAAAAATCCCCATTCTAAAATGCACCCCAATTCTAAAGTGCCTCAAGGCACCCTAATTCTAAAATGTAACTAATAGTTGTACATATTGCAGCAACATCCACACACACAGGACACCTAACACTGAAGGTGATTTATTCTTCAAAGCAAACACACCTTTGCACACTGGTACTGACTAGTATTCTGTTGTTTTCTCTTCTACATCAGTTTCTCTCCCTCACTCAGCTACTGTGACCCCAGTGCTGGTGGAGAGGGGAAGGGCAAACAAGGATGCTGTACAGGCACCACACAGTCTCTTTATCAGCGATTATGTCATTGGTTGTTGGGACGCTGGCCGCTACAATGTTGTATTGGTGCATAATGAAAATCTGTGGCTTTGTGTAACTAAAAGGCAGGAAAGGCAGGCTTGATCCACTGCTGACTTGTATGCAATTTTGGGGCATTTTTAGGCATTTTGCCAAGGCACCCCTGAAGAAACCTTTAAGGTACCCTGGTTGAAAAAGGCTTCTTTAGAGGAGGTTACTTTCATTTGTATATTTCATGTTGTTTGTGTATTATAAGCTTTTTTTTTTTCCAGTAGCGTGTATAATGAGAACAAAGTAAAGCAGGCCATAGATGAAATGATTTTCATGGTTGCAGGAAAGAAAATCGCTCGACTGCCCCCATGGACACTGATGGCTCCTATGGAGCCATTGTGCTCTCCCAATGAGGGTCGTCCCCGTCAGGAGAATAGTGATTACTGCTAGCGACTATAATAGCCAACAGGCTGGTTTTACCCAAGTTGATCGATCGAACAACTTGGGTACATTCAACCTGCCCAAACATGGTTCAAAACTCAGCCAATTCAGCAGGGATTCGACCCATCTATGACCAGCTTAATACTGGTTCTAAGTTCAGAAAAAGTGACAGTATTGTGACAGTATTATGGCTTATACATTACACAATTTTCTTATTCAATTTCCTTTAGATTTACCTTCAACTGTGTAGTGTAAGGGCCTGTCTGATTGCATACAAATGGGAAGTGTTTAGATTGGACCACACATTATATTGTGTTGGTAAATCTAAAGGAAAATTGTATAATGTATGACCAGCCTAAATCTGCATGAATAAAAAAGCTTTACTTTTTATCATTAATAAGTATTTTTGAGTTTTGCCTAGGCTGAAATGACGTCATTAACCTCTTCCCGTCCGGCCCACGCCGATAAATGGCCAGATGGGAGCATTGCCGATGTGGGGGGACGTTTCTAAATGTCCCCCCACATCTATTGCCTGTGCGCGCTATCTGGGAGTGCACAGCGCTGCAATTTGTGACCGCTGTGTCCGATGGAACACAGATCGCTGTACAGGACCACTGTGTGAGGTCCCGATTCATGTGATAAGTGATTGGCCAATCAGTGATCACATGAACAGTAGTAAACAAGATGTCACTTCCTGACATCTTTGTTTACTACTTGTGAATTATGTGAATGATTACAGAGGTCACATGGTAGAAGGCCATTCACAATAGCCTTGTACCATGTGATAAGCTGTGACCAATCACAGGTCTCACAGTATTGTTTTTACAGCCTTTATGGGTGTAAAAGCAATCCGTGTAAAAAAAAAAAGAAAGTCTTCAGCACCTCCCACAAGTAGTACAGTGTCACTACTATGGTGACACTACTGCTAGGGTGACTCTATGTTAAAAAAAAAAAAAAAAAAAAACACAGGAAAATCATAAATAATATCAAAACAAAAAGTAAAAGAGATTTTGGAAAATTATAATTATTTTTCTATAAACTGATTAGGGTTATTTTTTTTACCAAAAAGGTAGCTGAATACATTTTGGCCAAGATTTATGAAGATAGATTATTTATTTGCAATTGTACAAGAAAAAACACTTTTTTTTTTTTCAAAATGTTTGATCTTTTTTCATTTATATAGCAAAAAAAAATAATCTCAGTGGTGAATAAATGCCACCGAAAGAAAGTTTTATCTGTCTCAAAAAAATGCTAAAAAATTTCATTTGGGTACAGTGTTGCATGATTGCGCGATTGTCATTCAACTTGTAACCATGCTAAAAATTGGCCTGGACTGGAAGGGGGTGCAAGTGTCTGGACTTGAAGTGGTTAAAGCGGTTCTACTATTAATTCTGCAAAAACTAAAAGTCGGTAGCTACATAAACTGTAGCTGCCAACTTTTAATAAGCAGGCACTCACCAGTTTTCCCTGTTCCCTGGCGCCAGCATGTTAACTGTGGGCAGCTGGCTGTGACTTCTTCTGGCTTCACAGTTGGTTGTGCATGTGTGAGATGTGCTGCTCTTTGTGATTGGACCTGCAGCACCTTGGGGCCTGTGATGTTCCCAGAAGGTTGTGGGCAAGGAGAGGGGGAGGAGAATGTAGGCCTCAGTGATCCAAGCGAAACTGGCTTTGACAGGTATCCGCTCCCTCCCAAAAAAAAATATGTTCCAGCTATGGCAGAGAAAAGGGGGTAGGAGGAGGAAGCGCAGAACTTCCCCTCTTTGGTGAAGTTCTGCTTTATTCTGCTGTAGGCGGGAAGAAGCATTGGTTCAGTCTATTCTCCCGTAGTGATCAGTCTGCATCATTTTTACTTTGTTAGCAAGACACAGTGAAAGGCAGCAGGAGGCTGATCTGTGTCACACATTTGTGACTATAGCCAAGAACTGCTCAAAGATTTATATATTTTTCTATAAGCTATTGTCTTAGTCCAGTATGTACATACAAATCTGAATAGTACTCGAGCACAAAGACAGCTTTGTTCTAATAAAGAAAAAAGCAGATTAAACCATTGCAGGGAGTATCGTGATTTCTTTGAGAGATGATAAATAGCTGTAAATGTTACGTTTGCACATTACTTAGCTTGCATGCACTTAAAGCTCTGATGCACCCATGAAAATGTCATTCAAGTATTTGGCCTGTGTTTAACCTATTATTTGTGTATTTCCTTCTTTTGATAGGAATGGAAGACTGGCAAGAGGAAAGCAGAAAAGGATGAACTGGTTGGCAGTATGATATTTTCCACAATGGAACCAGAAGCTCCTGAACTGGACATGATAGAAGTGTAATTGCTATTTTTTAGATTTAATACACAATATAATGCATCCTAAATATGTATAATGTACTCCTCAGGGAAGAATATTTTGCTACTTTGTTTACATATGCACGTTTTTTCCTAGCTATATTACAGGGGTTGCATGAAGAAAAATAAAAGTTTAGTTTTGCGTTAAAGGGCAGCTTTTTAATACTATCTAAATCTACCTGTATGCCTGCCCCCTACACTCCAGTGATCACCTCCCCACCCCTCCTACAGCCGCTTATTTACCTTTGGTCCACCTTCGTGGCTTCTTCCAGTGGACACAGAGGGCACACTCGAAGCGTGATCCTGAGAGGACGTCGTATGACGTCCACCCAGGACAGTAGCACTCCCGCTTGGCCATCGTTTGTCTATAGGCGGGAGGCAGTTAAATAGCTTCCAGTGGAAATCTGTTTGGCACTGGCCATGCCTGCACACCCTTATAAGCTATAATGGAGCCATTTACCAAGTCTCAGTATAGGGTCCATTCAAGCCTATGTGTACAAAGTTGTGGAGACAGGATGAAATCACCAGAGGAGTTTGTGGTTCTCCGTTGGAGGTTAAGCAGCAGCAGATTAGCATAAGGTGTATTTTGATAATATATAAAGGTACCGCTGTCCTAACTTTACCTGTTAAATTTCTATATATACCCTTGTAACATGAAAACATGCAATTATGAATTCAGCTATTTTATAGCAAAGCTTAAAGCAGAGTTTACCCAAAAAGGAAAGTCCGCTTTAAGCCTTTGTCCCCCACTCCCCATTATGGATTGGTACCTTTGGGGAGCGGGGGGGGGGGGGGGGGTACCCGAATTTGACAGGTACGGCGATCAATAGCAGAAGTTGCCCTCCCTGTAGTCTTCTGGGACATGTGACAGGTCCCAGAAGACTACGGGGCCATTCACAAAGCGCAGCGCTTTTCGCGCATGCACAGTGGGCACCCAGCTGTGACATTAAAATATTGGTGACATAAAAATCCATGTGTCCACACCTTGGTGCAAAGGCAAACGAATGGTTCACTCACCAGACCTATATGACCCCATTACAGTGGGGCCATTCGTTTACATTTGCACCGAGGTGTGGATAAATAGATTTTTATGTCACCAATATTGAGTTTTAAGAAGGACTGTTACACTTAGAGTTTACTCAGCACATGGTGGAAGCACAAGGACTTTCTATGGAAATAGGAGTATATTATTATTATTATTATTATACAGGATTTATATAGTGCCAACAGTTTGCTCAGCGCTTAACAATATAACGGGATACAATACAGCAACAATAAAGTTCAATACAAGAGGGATAGGAGGGCCCTGCTCCTTGGAGCTTACAATCTAGGAGGGCTAGTTATTGTTCTTATTGTTTTGTGGATTGCTTGGTCTGTGAATTTCTTAATATCCATTTATTGGTATTCATTCACAAATAACCGCTATTTAGTTATCCTATTGGGTCTATAGGGAGAATTTATATTTTATTAAGTACAAGCACCTATCTACAATTAAGTACAGCCAGCGCCTATCTATTCACTACCAGTTCACATACAAGTGATTTCTATATTGCCAGCACCTGTTAATTGATACAGGTGAGTTTAATTAAAATTATAGGAGCATCACAAAATTGGAATGCAATTATTTCTTACAACTTTGGGAAGCTGCCAATAATTTTGTCCAGTCCATTATTGGGGTTTTTGCGTGGAATGTGTCAGATTTGGCTTTTTTGTGTCATACCAATACAAACAAAAGAAATAAACATGAGAATGCCACAACATTTGTAATTGCAACAATTTTCTTAGTGAAGTGATGCATCATCTGACAGAAATGCAGGGGTGCCAATATTTTTGACCATGACTGTACATTGTAAAAGTAATGTATTTCAGCAGGAACAGTTCACACGGTTGTGTTGCTAGAACAGGCCCTACTTCTTTTTTTTAGAGCAACACTTGTAAGTGATTCCAAGCATGCTGCATCACACATAAACACAAGCATCCAAACAGTCTGGTGAAGTTTCCTTTACAAATAAAGATTAGTGAAGTTAAAAAAAAAAAACAAAACTTTTACGGCACAATGCAGCACATGTTAAAATGCAAAGCAGCATGTCAATATACGTGTGTTTACATGTGATCAGTGCATACATTGATGTATATTGAATTCATTGAGCTGATTTAAACTGGAAATTCAATTCATTTATTGAGCAACTGCAGAGCTGTGTTTTCTAGATGTGATGGGTGGCAGAGGAAAGGCAATATGATAGAAGTATGTTAGTCAATACTTTAATCATTTTCATTACTGTGTGGTGAAGTAGGGGCATAATATAAGGTGAAAAGCTTTTATAATAGTGTAATTTAAAGTATAACTTTTTATAAACTACATAACTAATTGGAACCTTTACCATAGTGTTCAAAACTATTGTTCAAATATTTGTTTCAATGACCTTGGTGACAGGAAATAGTTCTACATTTATCACAGGACATAGCACTATTTTAGGAAATTTCAGAATTTCCTGTTTATTTTTTCATTTGGTGCTTTTCGCATCTCCTACACCACTTACACTGAGTTCCTGTATTAATGTTTTCTTTACTGTTCTTGAGACTTGTGAAACAGGACCAAAGCTCAGATATTCAAAGAGTATATAAAAATAAAGCAGTTACCCAATCTCCAATACAGGGAAAAACCTTCAGCCTGGTTTGTTTTACCATGTTTGAAGTATAACTTCAGCCATTTTTTTTCTAGTTTTGAATATAGTATAGAGGGATTATAACCTACGTCAGGATTTTATTGTGTTCGATAAAGCTGCCAGCACAATACGCCAATACGCCTCACAATTTTAATGAGGTCAGATTGCAGGGGCGGACTGACCATTTGGAAACTCGGACACTGCCCTGGGTCAGTAGGGGGCCCATGAGATGCCCCTGGTACCTTTTTCATAGACCTTTTTGAGTTTGGGCAAGGACACAGGGGCCCCATGATCCCCTATTGCCCAGGGGCCCCATGAGTTGTCAGTCCGCCCCTGTGCAGGTGCCATATACAAAATGCAGAATCAACAAATACCAACAATGTTTCGGGGCCACAAAGGACCCCTTTTCAAAATGTATTTGGCTTAGTGGGAGTTCTTACCAAGGGCCGTGCTATTCTGCCGAAAGAAAAAAACATGGGTCTCGTGCTGGATAGATTTATAACAAAGGTTTTTATTGCAGTCTGTCTCCATTGGGAAGAACAAGCCTTACTATCTGTCCTGGAGATCATGTCTCTGGAAGAGAAAGTGATGGGATATCCAAAATGTTATAAATGTCTTCAGAACAGAGGCAGAGGGGACATCATCCAGTGGGGATACGTGTTCCAGTGGCAACAAAGAGGATTTGCACTCATTCCGAGAACATTTTCTATTGTAGTTTTGAGGGTTGGAAGTGCTGTGAAATCTTGATGGGGACACAGCATTTAAGGCTACATTCACCTTTAAAAAAAAAAAAAAAAATATACATGATTTTGCAAGTAAAAAATGTGCATTTATTATTTTTGTACACTGCAGCCTGCAAAGCATTGCACCCACAGTCAGTGGATCGTGGTTGTAATGCCAGGCTCCTGCAGGCAACTCAGTACAGCTGTCTGCCCGTACCTCCATACGGGATGCAAGAAGAGTAAGCGATCTACGAGGATGCTTATCAATGCGCTTGTAGTGCGTTGAAAACTGCAAGGCATCTGCTGCGGTGGGAGATGGGACTTATAGTTCATTCAGTCACAGATCTGTGGGGTTTTTTTAAAATGTGACAGTGAGTGCGGGGACAGGATCCCCCTCTCACTGTCATGGGGAAAGCTCAGAGGGAGAGGTCAGCTGCTGTATAGTAATATGTTATATGCTAAACCCTAAATATGGGGGTAACATGTTACAAATGGTGAACATAACACATTAACACCTAAACCCTTCATTAATCCAGCCATACATGGATCGAAATTTGTCTGGTTGGGACCAGCTGAAATGAAATCCTTGTACGGACAGGGTGGTTGTACAGAAGTCCATCTACCGATCAATTTCTGTACAATTGCCCTGTTGGATTTTTGCTGCTTTATCTGTACCTCTGGCTATAGCTATATTCTGATGGCGGGGAAGCCTCCCTGCTCTCAAAATACAATGGCACAGCAGGAGGATTCCCCCATCCACATTGAATGTGTAGATGGGGGATTCAGGTCATTTTTTTTTTTTTTTCAATTCGTCCCGCTGGTTGAAATAAGAAAAGGACTCATCTCTGGGCAGCCTAACTCTGTCTAAAATTTAAAAAAAGGAAAAATGGCTGGAGTCACACTTTTATTTACTTCTCCACAGTTTTTAAAATATAATTTGGGTTAATTTAGTCTAGTATTTGGAATACTCCTTGAATTGTGCCCTACAGTCAGTATTATTATGCTCTAGCTTATTATTGGATGTAGCTGTGCTATTGGTGCCAAAAACATGGAAGGATTGCTGTGTTAAAAGTATTTCATACTGCACTGGATGCAGTAGGGCACATGTATGTGCAGATACTGCCTACAGCTGGAGCACTCTTCCAGAAACCGGACAAAACAATAAATAGTCATGGACTGAACCCTGCAGAAAGCATTTAGGATACTCACTCCCCCATCCCTCTCCACAAAATGTGAATTTAATTCAGTTCAGGACCAACTTTTAAAGCCTTTGCAGAGAGATTGGAGTCTGAGCCATCTGCTAAGCGCCTGAAAATCCACAATAGGAACAGACCCTTAGGTGACTGAATTTTAGTATGATTGTCTTTCATGTTTTTGTTTAACCACTTGCCTACCAGGCACTTATACCCCCTTATTTACCAGGCCAATTTTCAGCTTTCAGCGCTGCCGCACTTTGATTGACAATTGTGCGGTCATGCAACATTGTACCCATATGAAATTTTGATCATTTTTTTCTCACAAATAGAGCTTTCTTTTGGTGGTATTTAATCACCACTGGGCGCTTTACTTTTTGCGCTATAAATAAAAAAAGTGC